TGCAACTGATTATTCCAGAAGGATAAAGAAGTTCTATAATCTAAAACTACTTAAAAAGATACTTGGTATACAGACCAAAGATGGACTCCCAGTGAAGGAATTGAATACATCCTAACAGTAAGATGATGGACTCTGACAATATCCATGCGTACAACGTTGGGAAACACTTCAATAACAATATGATGAACTTGTGACTATTCATGAAAGACATCCATTGTAAAACTATAAATCAAGGGTGGTGGGGAGGAGGGGCCTTAGGGTAGGGCATTGGCAACCCCAAAGCAATGGAACTATATCATAAAACAAAATATTTTTAAATGTAAAAAAGACACTTGGCTGGAATACCATAAACTGCTTTAAAAATCGTGTGCTAGAATTATCTGAGAAGCCTATATTAATAACTTTTGAAAGCCTTCCTTCAAACTTCGGCCATGTCGCTGGGGTGAAAAGAGCCCCTGCACTGGCTGCTGCAAAGGGTGCCCCAGGTGAGGCCAGACTCAATGCTGGGGAATCAGGCTGTGGTTTGGATATGGCTGCAATCTCCCTTGGCACAAGTGAGCACACGTAACTGGGCTAGACTCCAGCACCATCTGGTGTGCTGGAGAACCTGGGTAGATGTAGGATGGACTAGGAATGGTCTCTGCCCCTACTGAGCCATGTGTGAACTGTGTCTGGGTATAGAAGAACTGTGGCTGGGCTGAAACATCCAACAATAAGAACTGGAATGGATTGAAGGCCAGCAAGGAAAGGCCACTGTTCCTGCCAAGACAAGATGTGGACTAAGTAGTGCTGGCCCATGGACTCACCAGTATGCACAAGATCTGTCATAGGGAGAGGTTCTGATGGAGGAGTTTGGGAAACTCCTTTGTCCAGGACACAGTCCTTGCAGGTGAGTGCAAAAACCACAATAGGGAGCAACCCAGAGCAAGCAAGAGAAAGACACCCACAGACATACATTTGGCATAGGTCAGGGGCAGACCAGATTAAACCAGTTCACATCACCTGCTGACGAATCCGAGCACTAAAACAGAGTGTGGTTCGGGCCAAATTTGGTCACAACACATACCAGTGCATATTAGGAAAGCCAAGGTGAAGTAAGCCATACCAGATGTGGTTGCAGTGCCCAATCAGCACACGTGAGAACGAGGGAGGTGGGGCAAAGACAACAGGGGTAATACGTGCTCCCCGACTGGACAGCCACTCCCATTGGTGAGAGTTGGGATGTAGGCAGAGCATACCAAGCAAGGGTACAAAACCTGTGGGCCTCATGTGAACTAGATCAGGGAAAAGTCAGGCTCGGCTGACAGTTCCAACTGCTGCAAACATAAATTGGAGTGGGTGAGGGTTGGTTGGCCTCTGCCACAGCATCAGCTGGCAGAGGCTGGCACAGGGAGCTAAATCTGTCAAGTTAAACTCCAGAATCACCTGGAGAGTGCATAATCTGGGAGTGGGAGTGGCCTAGTGGGGAGATAGTGGGCACCTCCCTCTTGGGTTACACTCCCGCTGGACAGCATGAAAACCAAGACAGGGCTGACTAGACAGAAAGGCAACTGCCAGTATTGTGCGGACTGGATAGTAGGGCTGGTTGAGTTGAACTAGGCTTCAATGCCCATTGACATGTATGAGAGCTAAATGGGATGTGGGATAGACTAAACAAGTCTGCAATACATAGTGGCAAGCATAGGAACCAGGGTAGGGGCAGACCTGGTGGGGATTATGGGAAGTCGCCCCAACTAGGCTGCAGCTGCCATTGGTTTGCGTGAGAGCAGAGTATGAAGTGGGCAGGATCAGGCTGGACTGCAACAACCATTGGTTTATGTGGAAGACAGAGCTGGAAACAGAACTGACCCAGCAATTGCAACCACTAGCATATGCATAAACTGATTGGGGCGACAGACTCTGCTGGCTCTTGTACTGGCAAGCACACACAAGAATCAGGTCTGGGATCACCCCAGACGAAGTTTCTTTGGAGATCCATCCAACTGAACTGCTGACCTCAGAACCCCAACTATGAAGAGACTGTGCCTGCCAATGGATTCTGACGAGATTTCATCATGCTTGGAACAACGAGATTGGCAGCACTTTAGAACTACTTAACTATCAAATAGTTGATAGGACCCTCGGAGCATGCCCCATATTGGGGACCTGGGATGGGTGGGAGACTGGATGGGGCTTCTCCCTTTGTTTCTCCCCTTACCCCAGATACAGAAAAAAAAAATGATATTAGTGTGGAAACAATGGTCTTACCCACCTTCCTTTAACCCTTGCCCCTTTTTGCCCTAATCAACTATGTAAGATTAACAAAATAAAAATATATTTTAAAAAAAGAATCCCTTCAAATCCTTTTCAAATCTGGAAATTTTTGTTGCTGGAAGATTTCTTTTCAGTCAATCATATTTATGGTTTCAGAGCAAGAAAGATAAAAGTTTATGTCCCCAAAACAGAGGTTGCTGCTTGCTATGAGATGGTAATGGATGAGATTGTCAGATCTGGTAACAGATTACTGGGCAGATTGTTGAATTTTGCTTTCAATGGTGCTTTTTTACATTTTGACAAATTCTTGTGTTTTTAGATGACTTAAATATCCCATTGTGAAGTAGATCAGAGCTTTTAAATCACAGTTGAAAATTGTCTGTTGCCAGGAGTACAAATGTGTTTCTGTGAAGGTAGCTGTAAATAAATGGAAGAAAAACACCTACATGTTTCGATGCATTTCCAATCTCTTCTGAAAAAGTAAAATGATGAAGAGGGGAAGTTGTAAAAACTGGATTTTTGTCCTAATGTTATAATTTTTCTAATCACAAATCTGTGTTTCTCGTCACTGGAATGGAAGTGGGCAGAGAGCATTATCTACTTTTCACTAATGTACCCCAACCATCTTGCAAGTGCCAAGCATGTGGTAGATCTTCAGATCATGTTAATGGAATGAGTGAATCCATAAAATTCAATTAAGCATGTCACTCTCTATTTAACTTGAATGCTTTGAATAGAGAAGAGACTAATGACTTTGAGCTTCCTTAATTAGAAATTTTAGCAAGTCTATATGAAACTATAGTCACTTTCCTTTTTTTGTTTGCATGAGTTACATTCTTCTAAATCAAATTCACTATTGAAGTCAGCAACAGTTGACATCTTAAGTCCAATGTCTTAGCCACTCAGCCATCCTGGTACAGGCAACTTCCAGAAATTCTGTGATGCTAGACTCAGCCTAATTTACCTGCACTTCAATGGGTTGAGCTCTCCAATATAGCACAATAGTGAAAAGTCAGGACTCCAGAATAATGACTCCCAATTTTACCACCAGTCAGATGATCTTACGCATGCTAGTCTTTGGTAACTTCATTTGGCAAAAAGGGCAACATGGCAAATATAAACTCAAGAATTTATATGGAAAAAAAAATCATTAAAATGAAGTTCCTTTCCTGGAATGACTTGCAGGAAGCCCTTAATAGCTACTGCTAACATAATTTTTCTATCCATGGATTTCTCCTCAGTTCATTGTTTTTGTTTTTCTTCCTGGGCTGGTATATTTATTTCTTAGGATTACCACAGAAATGCATTACATACTAGGTGGCTTGAAGTAACAGAAATTTCTTTTCTCACAGTTCTGGAGGTTAAAAGACCAAAATTCAAGTTTTGGCAGAGCCCCATGGATCCCCTGAAATCTGTACTGAAAGGTTTTTGTTGATATTGCCCTAGGTATTGTTGGCTTGGGCAGCATAAATCCAGGTCCCACGGGTATTCTTCATGGCTTTCTTCACACCATTTTCTTTCTTTAATGTCTATTTATAGATTTTACAGCAATACTAGTAGTATTGGATTTCAACCTTACAGCCTACCTGACTATCCTGACTTAGTCACCTCTGTAAACACTCTTCTTCCTTGAGAGACATTTTGAGTGTTAGAACTTCAGTATGTTCACAGTTGGGAATGTGCAGATACTATTCAACTTGTAGTGCCATGATATTATTATGTCTTCTAAGGAAAGTATGGGTTTCTTTCCCTGATGTGAAAGCATCCTTTCATATGTCATCTGCCTGAGAGCTTTTAGGTCCAGTCTAGCACTAGACAGCTGTTACAAAATAAGTCACCCAAACTCCAGAAGCCTGGGTTATTCCAATATAAGATGAAAGGACCAGGCCTGATGGCATGTACCACATAATCCAAATCCAAAAGATTGTGTTTATTATGTAGAACTGGCTTTTTATTGACAATGGTGTGCATTTTAGCCTCCTTGATTTATGAGCATCTTGATATCCTTAAAAATAGCAGTGATAATTCTGACCATCACCACATAAAAATAACGAAGTATGGTGATTAAAAGGCTTGATTGAGCAATTCCAGAATTTGTACACATGTATCAAAATATCATGCTGCACTTCATAACTATATGTATAACTTTGTAAATTAAAGATCAATAGTAGAAGAAAAAGTTTTGATATCTGTATGAAATTTTCAGCTATCTCAGCAAATACCTGGATTAAAATCCCATAGTCTTCAAGGTTCTTTATAGAGCATCTTGTTAGATTTGATTATTAAATTGTCTGAATAGTGACAGAAATCTTTCTGTGCTTTTTTACTCTCTTTTGGAATTTTCCAAAATCCATAGACACGTTTTTTATGCTAAGCACCCTGCATATACAAACAAGATGCAAAGGTGTGAGGATTTACATTATGTGTTATTTCTGAGGGTACTATGACAGAGCTCATGTGAAAATCCTAAAGCCAAAATTTAAAGGATTAAGAGAATGAGAAGTTACTATCTGTCAGAATCACCAGCTGTTGACAATTTTCCTGAAAACTGTACTGAGACTACCATGAAAGAAATATTACAACAGCTACTCCTTAAAAGGAAACAAATACCAATTTAAAATGCCTGTATAACGATGATGCTGGGTAACAGTTTTAGAGCACCCTGGCCAAAGATCATGCAGTGATATTTTCTTGGATTCATCTGAACATCCCCGCCATAGCCATTCACTGAATTGTTTCTCTTTCAGCATCCTCCATTCTCAAAAGGGAGAAGCGGCTGAGGACCAAGAATGTGCATTTCAGTTGCGTCACTGTGTACTACTTCACCAGGAGGCAAGGCTTCACAAGCGTGCCCAGCCAAGGTGGCAGCACCCTTGGCATGTCCAGCCGCCACAACAGCGTGCGCCAGTACACGCTAGGCGAGTTCGCGCGTGAGCAGGAGCGACTGCACCGGGAGATGCTACGGGAACACCTCAGGGAGGAGAAATTAAACTCTTTGAAACTAAAGGTAAAAAAAAAAAAAATAAAAACTGATTTTTTTTTCTTGAAATACCATAGCCTCGCAGAATTTTGGTTGAATCAGTCACTTTTCCATCCATATTGACAAACCCAATTGCAGTTTCACATACCAGGCTATATGAGCTTTGTGCAGTGGCAGTATTGTAGCCAGTGAGGTTTATCTGAGGTGTGATTGAGGTTTCTCTGAGATGCAGTGATTGCTGATCAAAAAGAAAAGCGAGAAGTGAGACATGGACCTGACATTGCTTATTCATTCATTCCATCCATACTTACTATTGAATTATTATTAGATTACACGCTGTGCCTGTGCTGAGGCTAGCAGGTAATGCAAAGTAGCTGTGATGCCACTACAAGATCTAGTAACATGTTTTTTACTTCATGGCATTGTAAATTTCTATTTTTCTTCCTATTGTTGATTTTGTACTGTGACTTTTCATCTGAGGGGATGTACAGTAGCTGTGAAGTGGAGACTAACATATCCAGATGTGAGGATACAATGTAGTATACATTTCTACTTCCAAAGATGGACTTACAATTAAACTGTTTACTATATCTTGACATTAGGATTCTGTGCCATTGTCCATGCCCACAATGATGGATATATGACTATGTATGAAGAACTATACTTTAGTAATGATATAGGGGAACTAGGTGGAGGGGCGAGGAATTGGGGCTGGGATAAAGGAAATACCAGGAACCTATGGAACTGTATCATAAACTGTATCATAAAATGATAATAACAACAATAAAATGTAAAAAAAAAAAAGAACTTGCAAATAAACTGGAAAGAAAAAGATCAATCAGGTTGTCAAAATACAATAAAATCAAAACTTTATTCCATGCCATTAAGGACAGTAAAAGATACTTTCAAGTGTGTGACAGGGACGTTGACAGGGCACAGGGGAACAGGAATCACATTCTTAGGGAACAGATATAAAAATCTGGAGTAGTAACTAGTCCAAAAGGACTGCTAAGTGGATGAGGTACCAGAAGAAGCTGTAGCAGCACTGTGAGCCTGTAAAGGCATGCAGACGGAACAGGGATAGGAAGAGTGAAGCAATAGTGAAGAGTGAAGCAGGCAGGGGACTGTTGTAAACTACCACTATGATATTTATCCTAAGGCCTTTAGAAGTCAGCAGCAGGTTTAAATTCAAGGTTGGGATGGTAGGATAATATATTCCTGTTCAGTGATGTGAAAATGGGTTTGTTGAGAGGGGTAGTAGCATCATGGAAGATACTTCAACAGTACAGGATGGAAATAACAATAGGTTAAATTAGAACAATGGCAGGGGAAATGAAGATGGACGAACACAGAGAAATTTAAAAATAAAATCAAGGGTACTTGATGACACTGGATTTAGGAAAAAAGAGAGGGAGGTTACCAGCAATGACATCCACTTGATGTGGCTTGTGAGAGTGCCATTCGCTGTGACAAGGCATGAAGGAAAGCAAGTTGTTGGGGATTCAGGGATGGTTAATTAGCTAATTTTGTGATGTCTGAGTTTCAGAGTTTAGAAATTATAAAGAGGTACCAGGAAGCCATCCAAGGGAACACATTAGAAAATGAGTGGAGAGAAAAACAACATACAACACAGAGATCCTTTTGTCAGCTAGAGACACTCATTTTATTTGGACTGATCCTTCCTGTTATAAATACATGGAAATACTCTCCCATCATAGTCTAATGACAGTCTTTCTTAATCCTGGGAGTTTAACATGAGCATCATTTCTCAAACACCTGAAGCACAATTATGCACGTGTGTGATACTTTTATTCATATGTGCCTGGTTCCCAATTGTATGACTATTGAGGTGAATATAGCTTAGTCTGTAGCAGACGTCATATTTCTTTTGACCATATTCTTGGCAGTTTTCCTTGAAAGTGCCTTGAGTTTTTGAAGTAATAATCCACTATTATTGTTTGCTTTTAAGGTTTGTGTATTTATTTATTTGAAAGGCAGTATGGAGAGTATAAGAGACAAAGAGATCTTCCATCTTTTTGTTCATTCCTCCAAATGGCCAAAATAGCCGAGGCCAGCCCAGGCCAAAGCCAGGAGTCAAGAGGTTCATCTATGCCTGCCATGTGGGTACAGTGACCCAAGAACCTGGATCATCTTACACTGCTTTTCTGGGCACATTAGCAGGGAAGTGTATCAGAAATGGAGCAGCTGGAACTCAGATGCCCATATGGAATGCTGACATTGCAAGTGGCTGTGCTTGCCGCATCACAGCACAATCCTGGACTCTATTATTGCTTTTTATGATGGCTCTGCATGCAATTTAACTTACTAATAATTCTCAAATTTTCTTCTGAAACCCATACTCCATGATTTAATGTGCTGCAAACTAACTATAGTCCTGTCCAGAGAAAAGTCATTCCCCAAGATCAAATGTTAGTACAAAAATACTAATGGAAGTCAGACATTGATTTTACTTGACAGGTAGTTTATAAATATTATTTAATCTAATCCTCATGAACACCCTGTGGACTGATGAGTAATTAAAGCATGTTTACAACTGAGGAAAAAGGCACCAAGATGTTAAACAACACAAAGAAAAAGCTAATTATATTACCCTATAACTTCCTATTCTTTTAATTGATTATCTTCTATAGTCCCTGGAAAGACAATCTTTGTATCTATAGAGATTTGTCCTTCTCTGAGATTGGTAGTGTGTGCAGTGATTTGTAACAGCTGGTACACTATAACGTTATCTGAGAACAAAGATTTACGGCTGTGAACTGTGAGTCACATCAGATACTCGGTGAATGTTAGCATGGTAGCCTGAAACCTGCCTTCCCTATTACACAGAACCTGTTTTGATAGAGTGATTTGTATCCTTCTCTGCACATGCTGCTTTGCCTTGTTTAACACGCTGAACAAGAAGAGAAGCAAAAGCACGCTGATATCTACTTTTGATTCATTTTTATAATTGTACTTTGTGTTATAAGGTGAAGAGGATGTCATATTTCAGTGTTTTGGGTAAGGAGAAGCATGCAATTTCCCCTTTGGTAAATATACAAACAAAAATTACATTTCCAGATGGATACAAAGCTAAAGAGTAACAGTAGAAAAAGTATTACTGATTTGTTAACATAGATTGTAGCATTGTGGTGTTACAGATTAAGCCACTGCTTTGGATACCCACATTGCTTACCAGAGTGACCAATTCACATCTCAGATACTCTGCACTTCCAATCTAACTTCCTTCTGATATCTCCAGAGATAGCAGGGATATCAGTACTTGGGTTCCTGTCATTCACTTGGGAGATTCAGAAGTTCAGGACTCCTGGCTCAGCCCTGGCTATTGGGCATTTGGAAAGCAAACCAGCACATGGAAGACATCTCTGTTCTCTCTCTTCTCATCTGATTTTGTCTCTATCCATCTACACATCTGCCTTTAAAACTAATTAATTAATAAAACCTTTTTAAAAGATCACACCAATGCAGACCAATTTTATAATTTATAAAATTAATTAATGAATTTACATTGGAATATCCTTGGGGAGTAGGAGATAGACTAACTACAATTCCTCTAGCATTATCAACTTTCTGATTGTAAAAATATTGATTATATCTGCCTAGGATTTAGTTATCCAGAAATCTAAAATGAACCCCAAACATTAGCTATCCAGAATTCTCACTCTGATACCTGAAATTTCACTGTCAATATGAACGTTGTTTGAAAATTGCAAAACAACTGTGACCAAGTCAGTTCTATTTCTTTGACTTGGACAACACAAGGATCACTGGCACAAAAGAGGTGCCCAAAGAGAGAAGCAAGGATTGCTGTGGAGGCACATTTCCCACCTTGATTTTGCCTGAATCGGTCCTAAGTGGCAATGATCTGGCTTTTTACTCAAGGTAGAGAGCAGGCAGCGTCTGACAATTTTCTACAGCCTCACTGTGGAGTTCAGGTAAAGCATCCTAGGAGATTCCCTGGACTGATACTGAGTAATTTCCTTTCTACTTGTTTGAGAATCACAGTTCTGACAAGCAGGACAAGTTGCTCTTGCTCTGTTCCTCCGTGTCTTTCCAGGGTGTTTCTGTTGAGAACCTTACACACAATGGCACTGCCCCCAGAGGACTTTAAAAACATGAGCAAAAAGAAAAATGGGTAGAGACATTTGCGGATGGTTGCTTATAGCACATCTTTTAGAAATAGAATAAGAGTATACACTTAGGTTTTGATAATGAAATTGCTTTTATTTAGGAATTCATTTCTTCAGGTTACTGGTTGGATATGATTAGATTTGCAGAACAAACACATTACATTTGGGAAGCTATAAGTGCATCTTTGTGCCTGATATCGTTGGTGTTTCAGACACTGTGAGTGATAGAGAAAGCTGATTGAATAAAATGCATGCACCTAGAAGAAATAACTATCTGTTGGTTTGTAAATTACACACCACAGTCCTTTTTCTATGTCAAGTCCATTCAAACATCATACTCTTCAATGTAATCAGTGAATTCAGCTTAATACTATACTCTTTTCCAAATTAAGTGCTTAGATTCCATCATCATCTGTACAAACTGTTGAACAATTTCATTAGCCTTTATTCCCATTTTACATGGCTCTGAAATGAACTTAGCAGCCATTAGAATGTGCTAAAGAAGCTTGGTGTCCCACTTGCCTTAAGCTCTACAGTATATAGAATTAACTATTTTGCTTTAGGACATTTAATTAGCTTTCACAGCTTGGACTCTACCCTATTTCTTAATGCTTTTTCAAACGACAGTTCTTCTTTTCCTTTCTGGAGTAATGGTTTTGGCTCCACACTGGTTGCCATTGCTAGTCACTTTTTGAGGTTATTCACAATTTCACAGTAATGTTCCTTGAGTAGTGCTTGCTATTTGTTCTTTCTGTATTAAAAATAAACACACTATTTATTCTTTCTATATTGAAATTAAACCCAGACTGCATCTCTTTTGTAAATGATCAACTTTTAAAATTGTGTTCATGTATTTTTCATTTCAATGTTTGGGATGAA